TTTTTAGGCGGTGTCATCACTCTAAAAATAAATAGTAAAAAATAATCAAATAACACTATCACGGACTATTATTTCAATATATTATACTGGAGGCTGTTAATTTTTGTATATTGATAAAATCCTTCTATGAGATTAGTTGTCATTTCAAGAAGAAGATTCGAAAAATTATCCTTCCACTCATCACAATGTCTAATAATGTCATCTTTCAACATGTTTGTTTGTACTAGAAAATGAGAGACTTGGGCAACTGGTTTAATGCGAGATATTTTACGTTTGTAAATCGAATATCTGTGAATTTAAATTAATTCAGTGTCATAATAATTCAAAAAAGTCTTTACAAATTAAAATTATGATTTACTGAGTCATATCCTGATTAAAATGTGTCGCTGAAGAATTGAAGGTTCTATATTTTTCAAAAAATAATTTCTTATCCATTGACCATATGTCTTTAAATTCTAAGTACTCGTACATATAACGCCTTAATCGTCTTAAAGCATTTATTGTAGCTGTTAATATATAAAAGAAATTTTTAAAATTTGATACAAAATAAATACACTAAAATATAGTTTATTTACCTATGTTATATCTTTCCTGGAGTTTGATACAAAGAAAATCTTTGGAAATTTCATCTTCATACGGAATCCAATTATTTCTCGATAGTTGGAATATATGATTTAATCTTGGCAATAATTTAATAGCCATTAATAAATCTGTTAAAAAGTTCGCCGAGAACGATAGGATCTCTAAAAGACTAGCTTCATATTTAATCTATTGATAACAATTAATTAATACTTTTTTATTTATCGTTTTTATAGTTATTTATATTTGATTTAGGTTACCTTATTGTCTTTTAAGCTCACGTGAATAAGTATTACTGGCGTTGGACCTGAACCATCACCGACACTTAGTTCTAAAATATTTTCTAATGAACATTGACAGTTAAGAATTAATGCTTTGCATATGAGGCTGTCTATTTTCTCTACATAATTTGTCCAATATACCATGAGCTAAAAATAATGAAAATTAATTATACCTAAAATTTAAAATATAATAAATGGTAGTGTATATGTATATGAATTGTATACGTTATTGATATGTTCTTTAAATCCATCATATATGACCATTATGTATTTTAAAATGAGATTGTAATTATCAGAAATTTTTACTATCATTTTACTTCTGAAAAATTTAAAAACATAATAATTTGTGAATCATGTATATGAATATTTTATGCATATTATTTATAAGTAAACTATCACAGTGTAACTCTTTAACAATAGACCTCCATTATTTCAAAAAGAACCAACCATATTTCATGGTTGTCCTGTTTTGAGTTTTTAATTTTTTTAATGATGACATGCATACATTTTTAATGCTGAGAATTTTTAATTTTTAATAGAAAAATCAAAACTCAAATAAGTAGGTAGTTATTTAGTTATACGTATGTACATAAAGTTTAGATAAGTGGAGTAGTGTACCAACAATCAGTATTTTGTGATCTTGTGGGTACATTTTTATTTTGGTACACTTTTTTGTACTTAAGTAACTAATAAAAACAATACAAAAATAGTACAAAATGCTATAATTTTAATATTTTTTTTATACTGGCTTAAAACTGTATAAAGAAAATATTAATACTTTTTTATATCGGTAATGAATATTTACTGCCGAATGAATCAATCAGTAATTACAAGAGGTGACAGGAATACCTGAAAAAATTATGCTACCTAAACGTATGGCAAAAATTGTGAAAATTATGTGGTTAATAAATTTACTCATGCCAAGAAATTCCTAAATTTAATATTTGGCAAAAAGTAATTACCTACGTTATAAATTAATTTATTCAAAAACATATTGATATTTTAAAATAATTCTATAAAAAACTACTTGACTTCAATAAATATTTTTATCATATAAATTATTCTTATAATTAGATTTACAAATTGGCTATTTTGAATTTTTCTAAAAAAATTTGAATCAAATTTACAATTTTTATTTTCAGTATTACAGTTATTTTATTTATTTTAAATTATTATATAAACATTTTTAAATTAATAAACTAACACACAGATTACATATATAAAAAAATATATGCATACTTAAATATTTCAATTTTTTTTTTGAGTTCTCTCAATTCCAAGATTTCCACTCGGTTTATTTTAAAAAGAGTCAAATTTGCTATTTCTTCAGAAACGTTTACAATTTCTATGTTACAATATTTGTATTTATCTACACAATTTTGAACCTGAAATACTTATACATTAGTTTTATTTGCCCAAGTACTTCTGAAAATGTACTTTACCGATTCTAACTCATCAAAACAATCAAGTAGATAGTTGTCAATGTCTAATCGTTTCCATGTATAACTTTGAATCATTGGTGATGTAATTTTATTGCATGTATCTATTGATTCGCTGAATAATAACATTTCTTGCTCGGATAAACCTATATTGTGCATGCATTTGTATTTAATAACGAATTTAAAACGTGGTTAAAATTTTTTAATTAGCACACTGTCGTCATATTTGTATAAAATATAATTACATTTAAAGCACGCCTGAAATAATTAGCTCACAAAATAGCAGATATACCGTTATACTTTCGAGTTTTTAATGTACAATTAGGGAGGTAATTTAAAATATTATTTCAAAACATTTTGTTTTCATAATGATTGCCTTAATATTTTGTTGTTATTCTTTAAATATATCAATATTGTTAATCTTACTTTTTAAACTGGTAACTAATTTATCTGTCTACAGTGCGATTAACTTCTGTAACGCGTCACTGGGATTTAAACAAATAACTGAAGTGATTAGTAAGTTATTATTTATATTGGTGTAACATTGCGTTCGGGTTTATTTTATATATATAGACTCATTTACAATTCTCTCTTATTTAAAACTCTCTAAAATATTCAAAAATTAAATAAATTTATATTCGTTATAAAATTAAAATGTAAAAAAAATTGCTTGGATAATTTTTTAGGAGCATTTTTTTTCTTCTTATTAATAAAAAAATTACCCTTGGTGACATAGGCCATTGGGATACAGTTATTATTTAATGAAGCTTATTTCTAATGATATACAGATTAAGATTGTGGACAATTTATATAGGCTATACAGTGTGTTTTGAAATTTTGCTTTTATTATGAATTCGATGGTGGCTACTAGTAAAGATATGTTGTATCCGAATGATTCTGAGAGGTGTTCCGGAAGTTTTGAGGACAATCTTGGTTCTACGTACGTTCGACATTCCGTCATTATGTGTTTGATTGTAAGACATGTTCCTCAAGATGGGCATATTGGGGGATCATTTTTTCAGGATCATTAATACGGTCAAAAATAAATTTTTGATAAGGATATTTTTAGGAGCTTCTTTGATAGTGTTTGAGGCTTGGATATTATTTATTGCAATATTTTAAACTTTTATATCTAATTTGCTTTGATTGGATATTGCAGAAACGAAAATACTCTATTTTCTCAAATATTTTAAGTATAATGTGTAATTGTGTCCATAAAGATTAAAGACTATATCTTCAAATAAACAATGTTGCACGGCGTATTGTATAGGCAATATAGGTACATTACTGTGTAGAACATTAGATTTTTATACAATTGATCAATATAAACTGACTATAGTTGGGCTGTTGAAAGTGTTGAAACTATCTTGCTTATTTTCACTTTGTTTAATAAATACATGTAGTTTTAAGTGTTTTTGACTTCGTTAACTAATAACAGAGTTTTCGAATAACTGCAATAAAGAACTTTTCAGCAATATAAGCATCAAAAAAAAACTGACTAATCATATTATACTATGGACACCCACGAACCATTATTTTTGTTTTGGAGTGCAATTGGAGAGTACAATTCAAATACTCGTAAATTAGATATTTTAATAAGATTTTCAGTACAACTCAAAACTGAAAATAATTTAAATTTTTAACTTGATGAAGATATTATTAAAAAAAAACTTCCTATTTGCGTATTACGTAATAACTAATTGTAAGGAAAATTAGTTCATCTCACTATCATTAAGTCAAGGCGTTCCAAACTTTTTACTCCGCGCCCTTTTGAACTAAATTTCTCAGGGCCCTTCCCAAGACATAGCAGAATCTCTTTTTAGACCAGGTAAATTTCTACTGCGACGCGGCGCCCCTGAAAAGACATCATCGCGCGCACAGTTTGGGAAACCGCTGCATTCAGTCATATATATATGTTTAATCCATAAAGAATATATGTATATAAAACAAAAAATACCAGCTCTTAGAGTATTGTAGTCGTTAACGATTTTTTGATGTTATTTCGGTGTAGTCGCATTATTTTGTTGCATTTAGCGACGATTTTATTGGTTGTCAGTATAGTTTGAAGCCAATTAATGACAATACTCGATTTCAGTTAACAGTTCAAATACATCACTAATAACAAATAAATGTGTGAGTAAATGGTTGAATTTTTATTTTTTTTCATAATAATTGTAAAAATACCAGTCCAAGTTAACAGTCAAATGCCAGAACTGATCATTTTGATTTCCTACTAAAATATATTTCTCAAGTTTTTTCTCATAGTTTATATTCGATTGATTATTCCATGATTCAATCGTATTATTTATTAGATCTTGATAGGCAATTGTATAACTTTTGTATAGCTCGTGAAGTTTTTTAATATTTGAACAAGGTAATAACCAAGGACGTTCTGATATCATCTGAAATGCATAAAATCGATTGAATTTTTTGAAAATTTAAAATCTAATTTAAACGTTGAAAGGAATAATTATTATAGTAGATAACATTTAAAAATGTCATTCCATCCACATGGACTGGGGCTATTCACGGAACACAAACCTCATTATGATCTTATCAGATCGTGGGTACTATAAAAATCGATTAAAACTGTTAAAACATTTTAAAGACATTCTTCATTAAACAACAAGAGATGCATATTTTTTAATATTTCATTCGTATAAACCACGTGCATAACAGTTATTAATTTCATACACGATTATTAACTGTAATAATGTGTACACATTGTGTTTTTAATAATTTTTATAGCTATAACACTGACGCAGATACTCACATTTTTTAACGTCTCGATTCTTTTGTATTCGGTCATAGCGGTTATGCAGACACCTGAATATTGAATCATAAAGGACGGTATTTGGTAACTGTTGTCTGTGTAAAATTGCATAGCTAATGATATATCCTCGATCAACATGGCGTAGACGTCGTTTGTTTTCTTCTGAAAGTGGGAATTCAACTGTGGCCAGTCAGAAAAATAATGTAAGCTCTGTAAAACATTCAGAGCATCCTCGATGTTACATGTAACACTCAAAGCGTCATTTAACAGCTGTTCGACTATATTGCATAATTCTTTCACTTGGTTTTTGAATCTAACATAATCCAACAAAACGTTTTGATATGGATTAGGTATATCGGTGTGCATAGCGTCGATGGGAATTAAATTGGTATGCGAATTGAAATCTTACTCGAGTTCGTGTTGATACCAATCAGTGGTATTCACGTTGAATATTAAGTTTTGAACATTCTCCAGATTGTTTATCAATTTGTTGAATTTTAACTCTATAGATTCCATGACTTTTTCGAACTCTAATCCTTTGGTAAATGAAAATTTCGGTTTTGGTATTGGGTGATTTCTGTTTATCCTACAAGTAGACACATTTAAGGGTAGCGTTTTGTTGTAAAATATTAGCAATGAGTAGGTTAAACGTTGGGTGGGGGCGTGGTGTTTTGGTTGACCGTTAAACACACATTAAAAAGTAAAATTAAATTAAAAAATAAAAATATTATAAATTTGTATTATTATATATGTATATATTGATTGTTTATACCGTATATTCACATTTGTTATCAATGTATAAATTATATGTACCTTTTAAATAAGACAATTGATTTACATATATAATTAACATCCCTGCAGCGATCCAAAAACATATGCACGTCTTTAGTTTCCACCGAACAGTGTCCGTCATTTTTAGAGTTATAAATTTCAATTACCTGTCAAATATTTTGTTGTGCAATGAAACAATGGTAAAAATATAGAAAATCAATCGCTGTTATTACTTTAGTGTATATTGAAATATAATTTTCACAACAATTCATCGAAACTTGTAGTTTATTCAAAACACTTTCTGTATTTCCAGAGAATAGTTCCGACATTTTTATGGTTTTTCGGCAAATGAACACAATTTGATTTCCGAGATATTCGTACAAACGACTTATGTCGGACCTGGTGGTCGTCAAAAATTAGATCGTTACGTTTAATTACATCGTAAAAACATGACACTTTACCATTTATTGTAGTACTCCGATTCTTCAAAAATAAAAATAAACTTAACAAATATGTCTGGCAATCTTGTTAATACGTCGTTTGGTGATTGTACATCGTATAAGCTCATAACTGGATCCCATAATATTTGTAAGTAATTCAGATTGGATTTGGCTTCTGCTTTGGCTGCCTATATGTTATAACAATTATGTCAATTATAACATTATAATATAATAATATTATATTATAATTATACATATTATATTAATTAAAATAAATAAATTTAAGAGGGTTTATTAGGGATAATTAATTGACTAATTGTCGACTGTTGTTACTATCGGTATTAATATTATGTACCTACCAATTACCATTGAGTATATATTTATATTGCACAAAATACACTCAATTCTATCATCTATGTACTCATATGCGTATAAAAAAAGTAATAAAGCTTATGAAATTCTAGAACTGTCGTTTAACAATCAATACAAGTTAAATTATAAGTACATTTTTAAATAGAGTATTTTTTTTTTTAAGGAATAAAATAAAAGTAAAATAAAGTTTGAGGGACAAGCTGGAGCTATTATTATTTTCACTATTATTATAACTGTCTTATCAAATTATAAAAACTGTGGAAATATCATAAAGGTTTTATGAAATTAACAGTTGAAGAAGTATGTTCTACTCTAGTTCTTCATCGTTTGTTTTTATTGATCCTTGATTTTAATATTTTACTATATTATTATTATAGTAGGCATCAGATAATCTTTAAAATTATTGTACTAATGATTTTTGACAGATTTTGAATACCTCAATTTAATCAATAAAAGTAACTACCCACCTTAATTTCATCCATAGCATTGTTGAAAGAATGAACAAGAATTGATTGATGCTGCTTCAATATTGTAAGAATTTCTTCCACGCTCTTATAACTTAATAAAGTAGTTATGAATCGTAAATTTGTAACTACAATAAAACATAATATCAACATGAGTGTTTAGTGTTTGTACAATTGCACACTGCTACTTTATGTATTTATGTTTGAGTAAAAATGTGCTAATAATTATGTATAATACCTCTGATGAAATTTTAATTTGCTTTAGTGATTTGAATATTTATAGAATTTAGAGTTAAATTTGGATAAATAAAAAAATCCTAGTATAATATTATTATCTATCATCATGACAATCATTTAGATAAACGTTCACTATTGTATGTGGATTATTAAATGGATTTCTATAAAATGTTATTATTTGCATCCATCAAACTATGATAATATGACACAAAATCTAATTTACTCACGTCTAGTTTTCCAATAACCTATTTCATCAATAATATGCTCCATCATATATTCACATCTAGTTGGTACTCTTTCAGTGTCCATTAAGCATTTTTGAATTTCTAAAGTATATACGTTTAAAATATCTAAAACACAAGTAATAGTACATAAGTAATGCAAATAGTTCAACTCGATGATATAATGACGATAAATGTAATCGTTGATTTGAAGTAGATTCTTATTTTAAAAGTCATATTATATATATTAATATTATAACCATTACGCAATTATCTAAATCGAAATAATAATTGTTTATAGTAACTAACATGGTATACATAATTCAAATTGAATAACAATTTTATGTTACTGATACATTATGTAATATCAAAGCTATAGTTCAAATAATAAAAAGACAACAATGAAAAATAATCAATATTAAACTGTGTAAAATAAATATTATATTTATTGTTATAAAATTCTTGCTTAAAATACTTGATTACTTTTATTATTGTATAAACCTACCCTTGATATTTTATTATGTGAATAGAGAATAATATTATTCAAAAGTTATGTAATTAATTAACTTAAATTATAATTTAAACCCTTGGAAAATTGTGTTTCTATATTTTAACGAATTTTAGTAATTAATTATTTTATGATAGTATTTACTAATAATATTATAACATAACTGGTTTAGGTATATTTTCATTAATAAATTAATAACACTATGCGTTGAATTTGTGATAAAACTATAAAGGTAGGTAGTGCATATAAATAGTTAATTTAAAAACAATTATAAAAATGGTTTGTTATTTTTTTTTTTTTTAATTAAAATAAGTACCTACTTATATTATAATACCAATTGGCAGTTATAATAAACATTTTAATATTTTGTTAATCTTTTTATTTACTTAATGTATAGAAACTAACTTTCTAGTACTTTGAGGGTTTCTTCGCTAATACTTTTTGAAGTTTCATCAAATTTTCCAACGATTGTTGGAATGTAAATACTAGGCATTCCTAAAAACTTGTATCTTAATGAACATAATTCTTGGATAACGGTTCTGTATTGTTCGAAAAATTGATCTTTTTCACCTGATAAATGCGAGTTAAAGAGAAATGCTATTTTTTTTAACATTTTTAATTTTCAATAATCTATAATATCAAAAAAATGAACGAAAACAAAACACATTATTTTTAATAAATTGTTGTTGTTTAAAAACAAAGGATACTAGCTGACCAAGAAAATATAAAGGGAGAATACAAAGAGTCCAATAATAAGAACATTGTTTTCTCCACTTGTGTGTCCATTTTTCCGAATGAAATCAATTTTAAGAAATTGGAGTTATTCAGATTTGTGTGTTCGCTGTCGGGTGTCTTTAGAAACCACATAATAGAATCCGTACGAGCATCGGGTATACAAAACGTGGCTTTAAGAATGTTGTTTTCATAAAACAAACAAATCATTTGCCGATCCGTGGTTATGAACTCCTCTATACTGGATATTACGTCAGTGGACCAATCACATTTGTTCAGGTACGGGAGAAATGTACAAGCCTTGATACGATTTACCTGGAATTCATTTCATAAAAATAATATATTATTCAGACTATTTTCTTTTAATCATACTAAAATGTCCGTAAACTTGAAATGTGCCAGAAATGAGTCAGAATAGGTAATTTTAAAATTTTAAAAAAGTATAAAAATTATAAAATAAACATATGGTGTAAATTTCAAGTATCAACGGTTATTCGTTTTTTAATTACAACAAAATATGAATATCACTCCATGAGTGAATATCCAATATTGTAAGAAATTGAACTTCAAACGCTCATAAAAACAAAAATTTACTTTCCAGTAGACCTTTTTTTTTTATATAAAGGTAGAAACACGTATGAAGAAATTTGTATTACATTTTCAAATCGCAGATATAAAAATAAAATTGTATGAATTTCAACTCAAATTAATTTTCAAATGTTCGTGATAAAAAACTATTGTAGATTTACACACAACTTTTTTTAAATTTCCACTAACAACGACTAACGAGGAATGCTATATTACATTTTCAATTTTTTTGACGGAGTGAAAATTTTTTTATCGATATTAATTTAAAAAAACTAATAATAAATGAAAATTTCATATGCCTTTAAATAGTTCAAAATAAGACAAAAATTTTTTCGAACATTTTATGGTGTATAGAAAATGTTAACATAAACATGTTAATATTAACATTCAGTAAAAATTTCATATATCTACAGTAATTTTTTAAAGAGTTATACACCAAAAATCAAAATCCATTTTGTCGAAAACCGACTTTGGGTAAAAATTCCCGTTTTTCCAGGCACTTTTGAAAACTACTGAGCATTTTTACCTCCCCAATGCACCAAATACATCTCCTTTCCCACTACAAAAGATACTGAAGTTGCAAATTGAATCATAATTTCGACTACTTATCATGCACAAACCCACAAAAAAAAAAAAAAAAACTATTGTAAAACCAATATATCCATCCCTCAGTCTAAAAATTATTCAATAGTCAATAATTACATTGTTATTATGTGTTTCACTGTACATCAGCTGTATTAAAACGTATAACTATATAAGTTATAAATAGATAATTAGTTATAAATATAAGTTATAATAGAAATATATGACATGGAACTTATTGCATTAAAAATGTTTTAAAAATATGAATATGATATTTGAAATTAAAACTACCAAAAACTACTCTTAAATATGCAGCTAAAATTATTAGGAAAAACAATATGAATCTGAAAATGTGCACTAATATGATATAGGTAATTATAGTGAAAAATTCTAGAATTTTTGAAATATTATGCCATTTTCATAAAATATAATGAAACCGTTAAAATTGTAA